GATGATAGATCAACTGTAGAGTTTCATAAATCGAATATCTATTGTTCGAGTTGTTTATTATGTTAGAAATCGATATTTGTTGTCAACAAAATCAAACTAATTTGAATTATTTATTCAAAACGAATAAATATATAATAATCGAAATAATTTAATTAAACTAAATCTAATAAATTGAATAAAAATATATAAAAAAAAAGAAGTGTTGTTTTTTTTTGTTAAGGTTGTTGTTTAAATGATTTATGTTCAAATGATGGAAGCATAATCGATAAATAATGTATGATGTATTGTTGTTCATCTGATATGTGTCGATTAATAATCGAACAACATTTAAAAAATGATTTATTTAAACGTCTTGATAAAACAAGAAGATTTTTTAAATGAATTTAATTATTTGGAAACAATTCGTGATATAAATCGTCAATATGATCAAATTGTTTTAACAAATTGTATAATTGATGAAAGAATTTTTTTAGAAAATAAATTTCAATTAAATGACTTATGTAATTCATTAAATGAAAATCGATATTCAAAATCTTCTCAAAATCTAACACCATTAACAGCAAATCAACATATTACATCGAATGATTATTAAACAATCTGTTTTAATCAATACTTAACATCCATATCTCAAGCTAATCAATTAATTAAATTATTATATTCAATTGTTCAACAACAACAAACAAAACCAACAAATAATCTTATTTCAATTATTGGACAACAAACTTTTTTTATCAAATCGAACATAAAATAAATTTGTTTTTCTTTCTCAAACCTTCATCATATTTTTTCATCATAAGATGTTCTTAGTGGAACTTTTAACTTTATCTTTTGCGTTTTTCCCCCTTCATACATTGAAAATAAAAAGCCATTCGACAATTGAAACTAATTCGAAACCTATTTCAATTTGTCAATATCACCTTTTTGATCAGTGTAACAGCGACTAGCTAGAAGTCAACTACGATTAATTTACTTTCGGTAATAGGCAGAGGAGACTGATGACAATACAAACAGTACTTAGCTAAATGTCAGGTTAGAATCTATGATAAGACAACCGTCAGACTTGTTTTACTCATATTGATTTGTATAGGAAAGAGACAATCAACCTGATTAACAATCAGATTTGAACTATATTTTAATAATAATTGTGTGTTGAGAGTTGATCGATATAGAATTGATATTATAGAGTGGAATTAAATGTAAATGAAATAAATAGTTTGCGTTAAAATGAACAAGAGACTTACAAGACAAAAAAATTCTATTAGAAATCGAGAGATAAATTCGATAGATGATTTTCGTGACAATCGATAACCAGAGATAAATAAATGAACTTGTTAAAAGATTTTTAAATTAATCGATTTTAAATTTTTATTATTTCGATTAATAAAAAATATTCTCAAATTTATATTTTAGACAGAGACAATTATCATCACTATCTTTTTTTTTTTTATTAACTTAAGCAAATAAATATTTTTTTATATTTATATCAGACATTCTTTTTGTTTTTTTAAGTATACTTTTTTGATAAAGAAAAATAATTAAATTAAGAAAGAAATTTTTGTTTCTGGTTAAAAATTTTTTCTCGTTAAATGAGAATATATTGAATTAAATATCTGTATGATATTGACATTTATTTAAAATGATCGTTGAATGATATATAAGATTTAAAATTTTATCAATAATTGAATATAGACTTTTAAAAAAGAACTAACTTAGATTTTGACTTTTTTAAGATAATTTTTTGTTTTCTTTTATTATGAAACAAATCGTAGAATAAAATAAATATTTTCTCTCGATTAAAATATTATTTTCATTTCGCAATATTTTAAATCGAATCGAATTGATTTATGATGAGTTTTTTATTCTGAACGTTTTCTTAATTTAAAATAATATTCGATAAATATATATATACGATTTTATTTTATCGAACATTTTTTAATAGTATCAGTTAGATACATAAAAATGAATTTTATTTTAATTAAAATAAAGATAATAGAGATAATTAAATTGATTTTTCCTGAGAATAAAACGAAAATAATAAGAAATATGAAAATTAGAGTTATTTAGTTAATTAATATAATATATTATTTAAAAACGTATCAGTTAGAGAAATAATGTTCGGTTTGATAAAAAGAATAAAATAAAATTTGTTTTTTAAAAATTTAGAGGGTGTGGGTGTGGGTATGGGTGTGGGTGTGCGGGTGTGGGTGTGCGTGTAGGTGTAAATCTTCCATTCTCGCACACCCACACCCACACCAACACACCCACACCCACACCCACACACCCACAGCCACATCCACCCCCACACCCACACCCCACACCCCACACTCACACCCACACCCACCCACACCCACTTTTTCGAACATGGATTAGACTCAAAAAAATAAATAAATTTCTCTTTGAAAGACGAAAGAAAAGAATAAGTCAAGGAAATAGAATTCGTTTTTAGTTTGATTTTGAGTTCTAAATCTGAATTAAATGAACATTGAAATTCTCTTTTTTTTCAATGCACAGTTTTCAAAATTTGATATGAGATTTACTTGAAATTTTTTCATGATAAAATTTGAATGTACATCAAACCGTTTATTGGTGAAAGAATTCATTTATTGACATAAGAAACTAAAGCACTCAAATATTGTTGTTATTGTATGTTATCAATCCTTTTTCATTCATTTCTTTTTTTTCATAATAGACTCACACATGGCTACAACAACTAAGGAAACAATTTGCGTCAAATGCACGAAAACAAAGGGAATGGTAACATGTAAAGGTTGTTCCAAAGATTTTTGTTTAAATCACATGAGTGAACATCATAATGAATTGAGTGAACAATTAGGCCAATGTGAAGATCAATTTAATGCAGTGAAAATTAAAATTGAACAACAAAAAACTGAACCACAAAAAAATGAATTAATGAAACAAATTGATAAATGGGAAATAGAGTCCATTGAAAAAATTCGACAAATAGCAAATGAAATTCGTCATGAACTTTCATTATGTATTATCAAATTTGCTTCTAATCTTGATTTGAAATTGAAACAATTAACAGAACAAATTATTCAATGTCGTAAAAACGATGATTTCATCGATACAGATGTTCAGTTTTTTAATGAAGAACTTGAATGCTTAAAAGATACTCTCAGCAATCCCTCAGATATCAAACTTGAACAAGACTCAACAACATTCATCAAGAAAATTCGTCTTACAAGAAAAGGTAAATCGTACATATAAATTAGAAATAGAAAGGGTTTTTCTCAAGGCGGAAACAGCGATTTGTGATTTTGTGATTTAAAATGATTTTGGTGATTTTATATGATTTTTATGATTTTTAGTGATTTAAAATGATTTTGTATTATTGAATATAGTGTAAATATTTCTCTCATAAATGCACAGTTACACTTATTTTCGATGACTATCTTTCATGGAAAAGATAGTTGAAATTTACAGTGTTTGTGTTCAGCTTATTCAGACTATTGATGAAGTCATTGTTGGAATATCGACTCAGTACACAAGAAAATGTGAAAGATTTGCGTAGATAAATATTATATTGATGTGACAGAGTGTATGAGTAATAGTTTTAGAGCCTCCTTTCTGCATATTCACTCAGTCAGATACCCTTATTGTCACTGAAAGACCGACTACATGTTAGTTCATTATCTGAAATATAGAAACAGAAAAAACCGTTATTTATTCCTTTGATAACGGAAATATATAATGTATAGAAGAAAAATATATAGAAAAATTTATTGTTTTTCTTTAACCCTATTTAACCGATCAGAAGGCAAAATAGGTTTAGTTTTTGAGAAATACCAATATGCGATCTGTTTGTGCATATATTTCTTCTGCGCATTCATCTTGACGGGAAAGAAAGATTCAGATTGACAACTGCCGATGGAATCATAGATGCGCATGCCATGGATCGTAGGACTAGACACATTTGGAAGAACATGAAGGTCAAGTTCATCCATTAGTATTGATTCATCATATTCATCCATGATGTTATTTCCAATAGACTGTTCGTTATGTTGATGTTGTTCATGATCTTCGTCTTCCTCTTGTTCATCATTATTATAATAAGATTTTTCATCTTTTCGGCTATTCACAGGAAAAATTCACTAAGACAAAAACGGATCTGAATCTCATGAAAAAACAACGAACGTTGATTGTGTCATTTATATATTTAAAATCAACATTTTCTACAAAAAACTAATTTCATTTCTAATTTACTTAGGGTAAACCAAAAGTTCGTAGAACGGTGTTTAAAGGACTTTGTCGGATAAGGTAACCTACTCAGAAATGAAAAACCAAATATACCATGTCGTAGAGCGTTTTGAGGCGCGTCGAATGGTATATAGTAAATCCTGTTTTCATAAGACTTTGAAGGAACTAGAGTCAATTTACTGATAGACGACTATGCACCCACACTCACATCCACCTATACCCACACTGACAAGATGACCGGAGATGCTACATATATGAAGTTGTAGCCCGTCAAAAACTCTGCAAAATCGTATGTGAGAAAAAATATTTTACAAATACTTTCGACTAATCCCAAGGACCACAATATTCAGTAACCTATCATACTTAGGTGAGGGTGTGAGTATGGGTGCGTAGTCGTCTATCAGTAAATTGCCTATAGTTCCTTCAAAATCTTATGAAAACGGGATTTACCATATACCATTCGACGCATCTCAAAAAGCTCTACAACATGGTATATTTGGTTTTTCATTTCTGAATAGGTTACCTTATCCGACAAGGCCCTTTAAAAAAGTTCTACGAACTTTTGGTTTGCCCTAAGTAATTCTCTTCTTTACCGTATTGTCATTTTATATAAATCATATATAGTTAAGTCATTCGATTTTTCTCCAACTGATTATTTCTTTAATCGATCTATCATCCTTCAAAATTCATGTCATAAAAAAACAAAGATTCTTATGTGACTTTTTTCTGTTGTTTTTATCTTAAAATACAACTATTTCATTTAATAGTTGATGATTTCATCTTTAGTTAACCAATATTTCTAAAGTTCAACATCAATTTTTGTCCTTGATCGGCAAAAATATCACATAAATTAGAGTACTGCAACCCGAGCCGACCCGACCCGCGGGTGCGGGCGGGTTCGGGTTTAACTTTGTCGGGTCGGGTCGGGCGCGGGTCTGACAGTCGTCGGGTCGGGTCGGACGCGGGTCTGACAGTCGTCGGATCGGGTCGGGTACGAGTTTAATCTTAAAAATGTCGGGTTTTTGCCGGGTTAGATTTTTTTGCATAATGTATGCTCTTGCCCTCTAATCGCGACATACATACGATCGAAAACAAAATATCTTTCTGTAATTTCAAATTTGATTTAAATACATCTAGAAAAATCAATTTTTTAAGTCCGACAAGAACAGAACAGAAAGCTGTTATTAAAAATAAACAAGCGCTATTGAGAACTCTTGGTATAGATCAACAAGAAGATGAAGAAATTCTACAGACATGCACCATTAACAATGTCTCAAAACATTGAAAACGTATTAAAATTGATACTGTGCGCGATATACTCAAGTTTTTCAATGGGTCTGTAGACTTATTATCAGGCGATAATGATAGTGGGTCAATGAATAAATTAGCTCGCTACTTTAAATCGAAAATGTCGTATCAAAAAGGAGAATCACTTTTTCGGAGGTGACGCAATCATTCTATTATATACAAGAAGTGAGCTTCTTGAATATTACATAGTACGTCTTCTTAAATGCACAAAAAATTCATCAAATGAATATAAACTCGATTCTCTCTAGTTTATCATTATTAGTGTATTCTCTCTTGATGGTTCCTGCAAGTTCTACTGTTTCAGAAAGAATATTCAGTCAAAGAGGCTAAATTCCTGAAGCTCAGCATCGATAGTCATCACTAGAATAACTTGATTCTCTTGTTTTTTACGGAAATTTCAATTTGTTTTGTATAAATTCATGATACATTGTTTATAGATGTATGATACTTATTGTTATTATCAACATCGATTATAACTACTTAAGACGTAACATACTTGGATGTGAATACGATCTCGTACTCGATTGTGACGGATATCTTTTAAAATGGTGATTATCTATGTGTTCGTTTTTGATGTTATAAAGTTTCCATAATATATTTTATGGTTAACATTGAAATAAACACATATATCATTAGAAAATAAACGAATTTAATCTCTCGGGTCGGGTCGGGTTCGAGTTTGACTATGCTCGAGTCGGGTCGGGCTCGGGTTCAACTATTCTCGGATCGGGTCGGGCTCGGATTGAACCTTTGCGGCATGGGCGACGCAGAGTTTTTGGATACGCTGAATCTCAGTTTCAGAGCATGGGATCCAGATGAAATTTATGGAAGATGATATTGAGCCTAAATGCTGAGTTTTATTCAAAAAATTTTTGCGATCGAAGTTTGCG